CATCTGCCTGTTAACCAATCATCAGTGTGTGCTAGTATATTATCCCCAACCCATGTGCTTTAATTTGCTTACCAAAAGCTTGAGTAGGACTTCAACAAAAGCCTTCTGAAAATCCAAATCTCCCACATCCACTAGTTCCCCTTTAACAACTCGGGTAGTAAAATCTTTAGAAAAGTCTCATCAGGTTTGTCAAACATGCTTTCCTCCTAAATCCATGTTGACTCTCTGCAATCAGAAAATAAATTTATAAGTATTCAGTAATCATGCTCTTTATAATAGACCTAATATATTTTTCTACTGACATTAGACCAACAAGTCTGTTTTCTTTCTCCTTCCTTACATTGGGTTTACGTTTGTAACCTTCCAGTCTGCAATCAGCATTGCAGAATTAATGGAAGTTTGAAAGATAATCACCAGCGCATCTATATATCTGTAATCCTCTCTTTTAACACTTTAGGGTGAGGGTCATTGGGTCCTGGGGATTTGTCAACTTTCGATAATTTCAGTTTCTCTAGTTTGACTGTTACTAATTGCTCAGATTCCTTCCAATGAGACGTTGAATACCAAACGTGTTGATTCTGTCCCTGCAGCATGCTGTGTAACAACTGATTCCATTCCCTCACCTGCTCTTGGCTAAAACAGATTGTTCCTAAGATTTACATCTTCTTTGTTTTGCTGAGTTTCCAATCTCATTGTCTACCATAAAATCTGTCTGCTTCTACCTGTAAAGTTGGTTGTTCAGTATCGGGCTTAGCCAATCTGCAGAAACTCTTATCCTTTATTTTGTTATATATGAACAAGGAGCAAGAGTAGACCACTTGGCATTTAGACCCTGCTCCACCATTCAATAAAATCACGGCTGATCTGATTTTCACTTCAACTCTACATTCCTGCATATCCCCGATCTTTCATCTCTTGGAAATCTATGCTTCTCTGCCTTATAAATATTTAGTCTGTATCCACTGTCTTTTGAGGAAGTGAATTCCAAAGACACTCAACCCTTAGAGAAAACATGTTTCCTCATCGCTTCCAAATGGGTGCTCCTTTATTTTAAACTGACCCTGAATTCTATTACCCTGAGACCTTGGATTCACTTGTGTGGAAAATTATAGAAAAAGTTAATGGTGGGGAGGGCTCAGCAAAGATTATTCAAGTTTCTAGAACAAGTAATAGGACAGAGTTGGGGTCCGGAAAGAGTCAGGAATCTAACTTCAGGCACAACAGATAAGGGGATAACTAAGAAGGGGCGGGAGGTGGGGGGCGTTCGACCAAGATTAAGGGTGTTGTACTTAAATGCATATAGCATACAAAACAAAGGTAGATAAGTTTGTAGCACAGATGTAAAATGGCAGGTATGATTTTGTGGGTATTACAAGTGACGTGGCTGCAAGGGATAAGGACTAGGAACTGAATATCCAAGGATACCATCAAAATGACAGGCAGAATGGCAGGGGGTTAGGGTTCCCTTGTTAGTAAGAAATGAAATTAAATCGATCACGATAAGTGATGTAGAGTCGGAAGATATAGAATCTGTATGGATAGAGTTGAAGAACTGTAAAGGATAAAAGACTCTAATGGGAGTTATGTACAGGCCTCCGAGAAGTAATCAGGATATGGGGAAGAAAATAAATCAGGAGATAGAGCAAGCACGTAAGAAGGGCTTTGAATGCAGGTAGACTGGGAAAGTTAGGTTGGTAGTGGATGTCAAGAAAAGAAAAGGAATTCATGGAATGTCTACAAGACTTTTTGGAGCAGCTTGTGTTAGAGCCCGTGAGGGACGGTGGAGGAGCAATGGCATGAGTTTTTTTGGGTAATTTGAGAGCACAGCAGAAATTTTTCCCAAGGAAAGAAACTTATTATTGGGCAGATGAAGCAACCATGGCTGATGAGGGAAGCAAGGGACAGCCTAAAGCATACAATGTGGTGAAGATTAGTGGTAAGCCTTTTAAAAACTAGCAGAGGATAATGAAAAATATAATAAGGGGAAAGAAGATGACATATGAAAATAAGCTAGTTAGTAATATAAAAGAAAATTGCAAGATATTTTAGGTATCAAACAGGTAAGAGGGAGGCAAGAGTGGACTTTGGACTGCTAGAAAATGAGGCTGGAAGAACTAGGAATGGTGAACAAAGAAATGGTCAAAGAACTGAACAGTACTTCTCATCAGTTTTCATAGTGGCAGATGCCAGCATACCAGAGCTTCTTAAAAATAAGGAGGAAGAGGCGAGTATAATGGCCATTACTAAGGAGGTGGTTTTGGGAAGCTGAAATATCTGAAGGTGGATAAATTGCCTGGATCAGACGGACTACACCCCTGAAGGAAAAGTTGCCGAGGAGATTGTGGAGGAAAAGGTGATCTTTCAGGCATCACTGGAGTTAGGAGGATAGCAGAAGACTGGAAATTGGCTAATATAACATTCCTGTTTAAGAAGGTAGGGAAGCAGAAGACAGGAAAACATAGGCTGGTCAGCCTGAGCTTGGTAGTTGTTGAGATTTTACAGTCCATTTTGAAGGATGAGATTGTAGAGTATTTGGAAGTACGTGGTAAGAAAGGACTGAGTTGGCTTGGCTTTATCAAGGTGAGGTCATGCTAGATAAATCTATTTGAATTCTTTGAGATGGTATTGAGCAAGTTAGACTAAGGAGAGCCAATGGGTGTGATCTATTTGGATTTCCAGAAGGCCTTTGACAAGGTGCCACACAGGAGGCTGCTAAATAAGATAAGAGTCCATCTTGTAAGGGACAAGACACTGGTATGGATGGAGGATTGGCTGACTGGCAGAAGGCAGAAAGTAGGAATAAAGTCATCTTTATCAGCTGAGTTCCGGTGATCAATGGAGTTCCATGGGGGTCTGTGTTGGACTACAGCTATTCATGTTGTACATTAACGATCTGGGCGAATGAACTGATGGCATTGTTGCTAAGTTGGCAAACAACACAAAGATAGGTGGAGGGAAAGGTAGTGTTGAGGATGCAGAGAGGCTGCAGAAGCACTTGGACAAGATAGGAGAGTGGGCAAAGAAATGGCAGATGGAATACAATGTGTGAGGTTATGTACTTTGGTAGGAAGAATAGACGTGAAGGCTATTTTTTAAATGGGGAAAGGCTTTGGAAATCTGAAACACAATCGAACTTGGGAGTCCTAGTTCAGATCTCTCAAGGCAGGTTCATTTGGCAGGTAGAAAGGCAAATGCAGTGTTAGCTAGCATTCATTTTAAGAGGGCTAGAATACAAGAGCAGAGATGAACAGCCGAGGCTGTACAAGGCTGTAGTGAAACTGCATTTGGAATATTGTGAGCAGTTTTGAGCCCCATATCTAAGGAAGAAAGGAAAATGTGCTGGTGTTGGAGTTGGTCCAGAGGAGGTTTAGAGGAACGATCCTGGGAATGAAGGGGTTGTTATATGAAGAGCAGTTGAGGACCTGGAGTCTAACCGATAGAGTTTAGAAGGTTGGTGGTGGGGGGAGTGGCGTGAGTGGAATCTCAATGGAACTTATAGAATACTGAGAAGCATGGATAGAGTGGATGTGGAAAATATGTTTCTACTGATAGACTAGGACCCAAGGGAACAGCCTCGGAAGGGGCAACCCCTTAGGACTGAGATGAGGAGGAATTTCTTCGGCCAGAGGGTAGTTACACTGTGGAACACATTGCCACAGAGGGCTGTGGAGGCCCAGTCATTGAGTGTTTTTAAGATAAAGATAGGTTCTTGATTGGTAACGGGTCAAGGGTTACAAGGAGAAGGCAGGAGAATGGGGTATATCAGCCATGATCGAATAGGAGCGCAGACTTAATAGGATGAATGGCCTTATAATACTGTACACAGTACTCCAGATGCTATCTCACCAATGCCCTGTACAGCTGAATGTGATTGCATTCAAAATCCACCTCTTAGTGCACTTTTGGCTAGTCTCCCACATCAATGATTTTGGATTTGGAGGGGACATGGGGCATACTGGTAATGTTAATAGACTGGTAATCCAGAGACACAACTCAAGTTCGGCGGAAATAAAAAACGAAAAATGCTGGAGAAACTGAGCAGGTCTGGCAGCATTTGCAGTGAGAGAAAGTTAATATTTTGAGTCTGATATGACTGTTTTTCAGTTCTGAAGGAGAATCATAACAGACTCAAAGCATTAACTCTGCTTCTCTCTCTGCAGATGCTGGTAGATCTGCTGAGTTTCACCAGTATTAATTGTTTTTATTTCAGATTTACAACATCCACAGTATTTTGGTTTTATAAAAGCTCTGGGGTCATGGGTTCACATTGCACCATGGCAGTTGGTGGAGTTTAAAATTCATTTATTAAAATCAGGCATGTAAAGCCAACCTCAGTGGTTACCAAAAAACTATCATTGTTGTTAAAAACCCCATTTTCTTCACTGGCATCTTTTAGTAATCTAGACTCAATAATGCAGATGACTGTCAAATACCATTTGAAATAGCCTATCAAGCTATGTATTTCAAAGATCGTTAAGGATGGGCTACAAATGCTGGTCTTGAGTGACGCCTATATTTCATGATAAAAAAAGTGTTTTGTAGGACTAATAATTTTACATTTATCTTGCACTTTTGTCAGTCCTTTAAGATCCTACCTCAAGTATTTTCCCAAATTTCAACCATTCCAATGTCTCTTGGTGTTATCATCATTCTTGTTTCTATGTAAAAAGTTACAACATTTTATTGGTCATGTGTTTCATGTGAACAGATGGACAACTAGGGGTTCAAGATATTTTAACATGTTCTGTGATCTGACTTAAGATAGTTATTTGCTATTATAAATATTCCTCATAATTTAAAGGAAAGATGAATTAGTGGTGCTAAAATACATAAGTTATTCAAACTGTTGAAAATTGATGCAGTATTTTTTAGCAGCGTGCTGACAAAGATTAAATTTAAGGTAATCAGATTTGCCAGGTTTCTGCTGATTCTAAGGATTATGATCAAATTGACCATAATGACAAGTTACAATTAACTGCCTTAAAAATGTTTGTATACAGGGCTCTTGGAATTACTTGGATAATAGTTCTCAGAGAAAAGAATGGGAAAGAACATGTGAAGGAGCAAAGTAAGGCCTACTTCAATGAAACATCTACTACTTTATGCTGGAACAGTACAGTTTGGCCTTCTCTTTCTAGTCTGAAAGCACTCTGTGTATATGGAGTTACACCATTGTTTTGTCCGAGTAAAACTCCTGCAATAAATGGGTGAGTTTATGAGAGAACATATGATGCAATGTAACTAAATTAATTTCTCGTAGCATCAATCTGTACATCATACTTAAACAAGCGCAGATGGTGGACAAGGTATAGTTTTTTTTGCCCTCCTTCCTGATACATTTTATAAAGCTTTTCTAATGAAGAGAAAGAATGAATATTGATCCCTTACTCCCAGTTGATTCTAGGTAATATTGCAACTACTCTGATATTTCTACTGTGGCCACACAAAATGGGTGCATCAGAGTAAATTTCATGCAAATTACTCTGTACTGAAGAGAATTCTTCTGGTCATGGGTACCAAAAGTATTTGGCAGTCCTCCCATTGTTTACTTCAATCTTTCTGAACCAGCAACCATTGGTTCCAAACTAAAGAATAAGATAAATTCTCCCCCCTCTCGAGTTCAAATATATATGATTTGTGTGTTTTTGGAGAGCTCCTTTTTGATCTTTTTCAAGAGTTCCTTTTCTTGTTCTCAATTACTAATTTCTTTATTGGCTAATACAGTCCATAATCAGACTTACCGGAAAGTAGAATTGGAAGAATTTATTGATGTCCTTAATTGTCATTGCTCCAGCAAACTTATAGCAGGGGAAATATTAATTTCCTGGACAACTCAGTGCAAAACAAATATTTTTTAAAAAATAGCTGATAAACCTTGCATTGGCTGGTGATGCCACCATTTTCATTGCATATGTACAATGCTGAAAATTTCAAATAGGAGCTTTTTACCCTTTTACTGCATTTTTGATTTCAGTCTCAGGTTCATGTTTGATATTTAATGCAATGTTAATTTTGAACTAGAATAAATTGTTGATGAAAGAGAATTTCATTTTTTCACCACTGTGTCTAAAAGTTTCCTAATTTCACTGCACAATGATCTGGATCTGTTTTTTTGGATGATGCCCTCCAAACTTCCTTATATTAATCATTTAACTCCTAAGATTTAAATCATTGTAACAGTGACTACACTTCCAAAATGTTTCATTGACTGTAAAAGAGTTCCACGTGATCCAAAGTCATAAAAAGCAAAATGAAGATGCATTTTGTTCTGTACTGTTTAGTTTACTGTTACTGGTTCGTAGTATAAGCAAAATATTTTTTAATGTAAAGCTGTTCTATGTTATTTTATCTAATTGTTGGTGTTCAATATGGCAGTATTCACTCCATCCTTCCCTCTATAAGCGTTCCTGAAATTCTGCAGTCTTAAGCTAGAGATTTCACTTCCATATGCAGGGAAATCATTACCTTCACGATTTCCAATCGTCATAGATCCCAGTTAATTGAGCATTTATTGATTTGTTTTAACACTGATTACATGCCCCTGCATAAGTGTTGCTAACCCTGTCACCTATTCATCTTGTGGGACTGTTCCTTGCACCCCTTCCTCCTGCGACTGCCAACCTTGCTTCTCAATCTTCTCTAGTTCTGACCCAGAGAAGACTTACTCACCACTTACTTTTTGCTGCTAAAATCTTAGGCTCATAGTGAGAGAAGGAGCCCATCAACAACAAATGTGGGAGGGAACCAGCCAAGATTGGTAGAACAGCGCCTTGCTGACTCTTTCAAATCTAGTTAAAGGAGTTAGTTTTCTCTGCTCATAGTTAAATTTTCCAGGGGATTTTAGGAGCAAATTCATTACCTGGTTTTGTGTATTTTGGGTGTCTTTTTTATTTCTGCCCAATTTCTTGAAATGCTTGGGATCCAGGTTTTTAATCTTGTGTTAACTATGCAGAGATATTTGGGGGGGGTGGTGTGCTGGAAATATCTTGGCTCCATGAGCCTGACCTTTAAAAATGGTTACCTGTGCAGCCTATTTTCATGTGTAAGATTACAAAGGGTTCTTGATCAATTGCACCAGTGGACCGAGGAGTTTAATTTAGACAAATGCATGGTGTTGCATTTCGGTGAGACAAACAAGGGCAGGACTTCTACAGTTAATGGTAGAGCCCAGGGGACTGTTGTAGAACAGAGATCTTGGTGTTCATATACGTAGTTCATTGAAAGTTGTGTCACGGGTAGACAGAATGGTAAAGATGATGTTTGGCACACTTGCCTTCATTGCTCAGACCATTGAGTTTAGGAGTTGGGACGTTGTTTTGCAGTTGTACGGATATTGATGAGGCCACCTTTGGAGTACAGTGTACACTTCTGGTTGCCCTGTTATAGGAAGGATACTAGTAAATTGGAGAGGGTGCAAAAAAGGTTTACAAGGATGTCACTGGAGCTGGAGGGTTTGAGTTATAAGGAGAGGCTGGATAAGCTGGGACTTTTTTCACTGGAGCCTGGGAGGTTGAGGAGTGAAGTTATGAAGGTGTATAAAATTCTGAGGAGCATAGAAAAATCTCTTACCTAGGGTTGGGAAGTTCAAAACTAGAGGGCATAATTTTATGGTGAGAGGAGAGATTTAAAAGGAACCTGAGGGACAACTTTTTCAGAGGGTGGTTTGTATGTGGAATGAATTGCTAGATGAAGTTGTAGATGCAGGTACAGTACAATGTTTAAAAGACATTTGGACAGGTACATGAATAGTACATGAGTATATTTGGCTAGGTACATAAGTACGTGAATAGGAACTATTTAGAGAGACTTGGGCAGATGCAGGCTAGTGGGGACTAGTTTAGTTTGGGAAACTTGGTCGGCATGGGCGAGTTGGACCGAAGGGTCTGTTTCCATACCGTATGACTCTAAGTGGGGATGAGGGAGTGGTGGTGGACTATATGGGGGCCCCCCATGACTTGGGAAATGTGAATGTGGTGGGTAGGGTGAAATATCTGCCTGGGAGTTCTGGCATTGTTTGAATTTTGAGGAAAATAAAGATTGAAATGTAAAACATCCCATCTGCTGTCACCCTCTCACTTGCCCTGCCTCATTTGTGGCAATCTAGGCATCCAACATCCTGTACCCACCTCATACCTACCATGGCAACTTGTGCTCTTATACCCATGGGCCCTCGTATTTCCATGATGCCTCAGTATCAACCCAAGCCAATCAGCACCTCCCTCCTCAACCCACACACACGCGCCCACACGCAGCCAATCCCTTTCTATGCCAACTCATCTAGTATCTACCATGCGCATATCTCAGCAGCACATACGACAGAAAATAAAATTTTTGATGATATCAATATTGGATAAAACACTGATACATAAAATATTCAATTAAGTATTTTGATGTTCCATCTACTGATTTCACTTAACTGCTTAATCTTTTATACAAACAAATATTTCCATTCTATAAGCATTGAAGCTATCTATCAAAATGCTAACTTGATTTGCACCTTTGTGAAAATGCCAATCTGGGAAATCTGTCATTCTATAATAGCTTTTGTCAATAGGCATTGTTGAAATAGCCGGTCTTATTTTCCCAACAACATTTTTTCTTGGCCAGTTCTTGTCAACTTTGACAACTTTGTAGTTGATTTCTCCAGCATTCCTGTTTTTGTTCCTGGTATTAATATGATCTAGCCAGACTGGAGTCAGTACAAGTCAAGGGGAAAGGGCATTACTATATGGAGACATTAGATTAATTGAGTCATAGACAAATGCAACTCAGAAACAGACCCTTCAGTCCAACTCATCCATGCAGACCATCTATCCTAAATTAATCCAGCCCCATTTGCCAGCATTTAGCCCATATCTGTCTAAACGCTTCGTAATCATATACATCTTTCCCATAGCAGGGAGACCAGAATTGAACACGGTATTCAAAAAGTGGCCTAACCAATGTCTTGTACAGCTATAATCTGACCTCCTAACTCCTATAACTCAATGTACTAATTGATAAAGGCAAGCGTACCAAACGCCACCTTCGCTACCTTGTTTCCCTGTGACTACACTTTTCAAGGAACTATGAACCTGCACTGCAAAGTCTCTTTGTTTGGCAACACTGCCTAGGATCTTACAATTAAGTGCATAAGTCCTGCCCTGATTTGCTCAACCAAGATGTAGCACTTCACATTTATCTGGATTAAACTCGGCCTGCCACTCCTTGGTCCATCTGATCAAGGTCCTTTTGTACTCTGGAAAGGAATTTGTGTGTACAAGAAAATTTTCTTATTCAATATGTGGAAATACCTGCTATAGAAGGAGCAAAACTTGACCGTTGTGCACCACCTTCACTGTCCACTATCCCACCAATTTTAGTGTCATCTGCAAATTTATTAACCATACCTCCTATATTCATATTCAAATTATTTATATAAATGACAAAAAGCAATGGGTCCAACACTGATCTCTCCAGCACACCAGTGGTCATAGGCCTACAGTCTGAAAAGCAACCCTCCACCAGCACCCTCTGTCTTCTACCTTTGAACCAATTCTGTATCCAGTTGACTAGTTTGCTCTGTTCGAGTGCCTTACTGACGTCCATAAAGACAATATTCACCGCTCTGCCTTCAATTCTCTTCATCACTTCTTCCAAAAACTTAATCAAGTTAGTGAGAGATGATTACCCACGCACACAGCCATTTTGACTATCCATAATCAGTCCTTGCCTTTCCAAATACAAATCAATCCTGTCTCTCAGAATCCCATCTAACAAGTTGCCCACCACTGATGTTAGGCTCGCTGGTCTATAGTTCCCTGGCTTTTCCTTGCCACTTTCTTAAATAATGGCACCACGTTAACCAATCTTCAGTCTTCCACCACCTCACTCGTAGCTATCAATGATACAAATGTCTCAGCAATCATTTTCCTGGCTTCCCACAAAGTCCTCGGGTCCACCTGATCCCGTCCCGGGGATTTATCCACCTTTTATATGTTTTAACACCACCTCCTGTTTATAGATATTTGTCAAGGTATTGCTATTTACTTCTCCAAGTTCTGTCTTCCTTATTTTCTCCATAGTAAACACTGATGCAAAATACTTATTTAGTAACTTGCGCATCTCCTGTTGCCCCACACATACGTGGCCTCTGTTTGTTGAGGGACCCTATTCTCTCCCTAGTTACTCTTTTGTTCTTAATGTATTTGTAGAAACCCTTTGTATTCCCTTTAACCCTATTTGCCAAAGGCACCTTAAGTCCCCATTTAGCCCTCCTGATTTCCCTCTTAAGTATACTCCTACTGCCCTTAAACTGCTCTAGCAATTCACTCAATCCCTGCTGTCTATAAGTGACTTGCGTTTCTTCGTTTTCTTGACCAGAATCTCAATTTCTGTAGTCATCCAGCGTTCCGTACATCTACCAGCCTTGCCCTTCATCCTAACAGGGACAGTGTGTCTCTGGACTCTTGTTATCTAATTTTTGAAGGCTTCCCATTTTCCAGCCGTCCCTTTACCTGCAAATATCCATCTCTAGACAACTTCTGAAAGTTCTTGCCTAATACTGTCAAGATTGGCCTTCCTCCAATTTAGGATTCTAACTTTTAGATCAGCTCTATCCTTTTCCATAACTATTTTAGAACTAATAGAATTATGATGACTTGCCCCAAAGTGCTTGCCCAGCCATATTTCCCAAGTGTTGGTCACATTTTGCACCTTGTTTAGTAGGTACATCCACATATTGAATCAGAAAATTTTCCTTTACACAATTAACAAATTTCTCTCCATCTGATCCCTTAATACTATGGCAGTCCCAGTCTGTTTGGAAAGTTTAAATCCCCTACCATTGCCACCCTGTAATTCTTGCAGATAACTGTGATCTCCTTACAAATCTGCTTCTCAATTTCCCACTGTCTGTTGTACAATCCCAATTAGGTTTTCATCCCTTTGTTATTTCTCAGTTACACCCAAATAACTCTACTGGACGTACTCCCTGGAATATCCTCCCTAAGTGCAGCCGTAATGTTATCCCTAATCAAAAATGCTGCTCCCTGTCTTCTCTTGCCCTGCTTTTCTATCCTTCCTATAGCATCTATGCCCTGGCACATTAAGCTGTCAGTCCTGTCCATCCCTGAGCTATGACTCTCTGTAATAGCCATAATATCCCAGTCCCATGTTCCCAGCCATGCCCTGAGTTCATCTGCTTAACCTTTCAGGCCACGTGCATTGAAATAAATGCAGTTTAGTTTACCAGTCTTGCCTTGTTCTCTTTTTTTTTTGGTCTGCCTGCCTTGAATATTTGACTTGCTCCTTTTCCCAACTGCATGAGCCTCAGACTGATCCCTCTTCTCATTATCTCCCTGGGTCTCTTTCACCACCACGATCAATTTCGCCCCCCCATCAAAAAAAACAAGGCTTGAATTGTCTCTGGAGTAGCTCTAGCAAGTCTCCCTGCCAGTCCCCATCCTTCTTATACAGGTCACGTCTACCCCAGAAGAGATTCCAATGATACAAAAATGTGTATCCTTCTCCCCTGCACCAGCTTCTCAGGCATGCATTCATCTGCTCTATCCTCCTATTTCTACCCTCACTAGCACATGGCACCAGGAGTAATCCAGGTATCACTATATTACTAATGCTCGAGTACCTACTTCTTAACCTCCTGTCTAATTTCCTTTATTCTCCTCTTAGGTTGAGAAAAAGATGAGGTTCTATGTCCTTGGTTCCAATGTATACAATGACCACCTGCTGGTCTCTGTCCCATTTGAGAATATTCTGCACCCTCTTCAAGATGTTCTTGACCCTGGTACCCAGGAGGCAACACACAATTCTGATTCTTGTTGCCAGCCACAGAAATGTCTACTAGTACCTCTGACTAGAGCTCCCTTTCACAATTGATCACTTGGAACCTTGTATACCTGTCATTACAGAGCCAGTTTTGGTGTGAGAAACTTGACTGTCAGTGTTACATTTCCCTGAGAGTCCATCACCCCTTACATTTTACAGAAGAGCATACTTGTTTAAGATGGGGATAGGATAGGAGGCTCCTGCATGACCTGCCCATCCTCCTGCCTTTCCTAGAGGTAACCCATCCACCCACATAGCACAAAGGACGATGATCATGATTGCTGGAGGTCAGTCATCTTAGTTTCAGTGCAAAACAGCAAGAGTTTATCAGGGTAGTATCCTGATGACTGTGCAATGTTCAGCACCATTTAAAATTTCATAGGTACTGAAACAGTTTCTGTCCATATACAGCAATACCTGGACAGTACCCATGCTGGGCTGATAAGTGGCAAGTAAGGTTCGTGTCTAGCAAGTACAATGATCATCTCAAACAATAATGAATCTCCTATATCCTTTTGACATTCAGTGGTATTACTTTTGCTGAATCTCTAATAATATCCTGGGGTTTACCATTGACTAAAAATGAGTGGGACTCGTCATCCTCTCGAAGTTCCACAGAGTTCTGACTTGTAACAATACAGCTGTTCCTTTACTGTCACCGGGTCAAAACAAATTGACATAGACAAAATATTGCTCAGTCTTCTTGGAAAAAGACACAAGTTGCATATCAGAAATATAGAGTAATGTCTGGGCTAACAACGGTGAGTAAATTTAAGTTAAATAATATTAACAGAGAAAATGTTTTAGAGAAATTTAAGTGACTGAAATCCAACAAGTTCCCAGGATCGATGACCAACATCCTAGGCTTTAAAAGATAGACCTGCAGGGACAGTGAATGCGCTGGTTATGATTTTCCGAAATTCTCTAGATCCTGGAATGTCCCTGCAGATTGAAAATTAGCAAATATAACATGACTATTCAAGAAAGAAAAGAGTGGTTAAAAAATGGAGTATTGTTGCCATGTGACATTGGTCATCAACAAAATGCTGGGAACTATTATGAGGAAGACTTTACAATGCACTTAGAGCAATGTATGATCAAAACAAATGCACGTAATTTTATGAAATAGAGGTTCTGTTTAACAAATTTTTAAAATGTTTTTGAGGCTGTAACTAGTAGGTAGGTAAAGGGAAACCTGTAGAAGTGTACTTGGATTTCCAAAGGACATTTGATAAGATTCCACACAAAAGGTTAGTACACAAGATAAAGACTTAAGAGTTGGGTATCATATATTAGAATAGATAGTGTTGGTTAATGGGCACGAATCAGAGAATAGGTATAAATGGGGCACTTCCAAGTGACAGTCTGTAACAAATGGGTGGCATGGTGGCTCAGTGGTTAGCACTGCTGCTTCACAGCACCAGAGACCCGGGTTCGATTCCACCCTTGGGTGACTGTGTGAAGTTTGCACATTCTCCCCGTGTATGCATGGGTTTCCTCTGGGTGCTCCGGTTTCCTCCCACAGTCCAAAGATGTGCAGGCTAGGTGGATTGGCCGTGCTAAATTACCCTGTAGTGTATTGGGGGATGGGTCTGGGTGGGATGCTCTGAGGCTCGGTGTGGACGTGTTGGGCCAAAGGGCCTGTTTCCACACTGTGGGATTCTATGAAAGATCAGTGTTGGGACCTTACTTTTCACAATCTATCTTAAAAGTTTGGATTGAGAGAGAGTTATTATATCTGACTTTGCTGAATATAGAAAGCTAGATGGGAATGCAGGCTGTGATGAAGACTAGGTGATTCTAAGCTCCGGCATTCCTTTAAAATTTTCCTAGATGACACTCCTCAAAATCTATTTGACCGATCTGAAAATTTGGGTGTTTTTTTTTTTTCAAACCAATTTGCATCAGCTTTCAACTTCAAACATATGGTGACTTTCTCCCAAGCATTTCCTTAAAACTAGGGACTCCTGTATTACCATGAGAATCTGCTGGTTAACCATTGGCTCTTTTTAGACGAATAAATGTAATCTTTGTTTTCTAAGAGAAACACTAAATAAAATTGAGCAATCTCTGAAACTGATTCATGGCTTGTTACTAATTTCAAGTTCTTTTTTAAGACCTCGCCGGCGATCCCTACTTGCGGAGTATAGTCTGACAAATCTGGAAGAATTGAGTACGTGTGTAGGTGGAGACCAGCTTATCAAGCTGCAGTGCTTATACCCTGGCATGTTGTTGGGATGTTGGCAAGTGAGTTAATAGTTTCAATTTAATTTTACAGTCTTGTCATGGAAAGAAAAGAACCATCAAGTTGTGGTTTGTGTCTGAGTAATTGGTCAAAGTGATAGAAATGGAGCGATACTCTGAGAGAATCCCTTGGTAGTCCCTCCTGTTTCACTGAGTTTTAAGATGGCTGATAAGTCTGAAGAATGATCTATTCACTCCGCCAGAAGCAGGCAGTTGGTGCTTGAAGGGTTACTAAATTATTTGTTTAAAGGTTTATATACCTTCTTAAATTTGTCCTTGCATGTTCCCATCAACCATCAGTCATCAGGTTGGTAACAAGCCAGGGTTCCCCATGCATCAGTGAACGTTTGACCAAGTCAAGAATGTTTCGAGGAATTGTTAACATTTCTGTGGTAAAGCCCAACTGAGTAGAGCAGCTTAGGAAGCCTGGTGTCAGCCATGTGATGAGGTGTCCCAATGAGAGGAGCTGATTAGCACCTTGATACTGTGCAAATCGCCTTTGTGGAAACATATCTGTGATTCTGAAATGTTAAATAATGTAAGGGATCATTTGTTTTCAAAAATAAACAAAACTAATTTTATTTTGCCCATTAGATCGATCTTTCATCTTGAGTCATTTAAGATACAGTAATAATTCCTTTTGTAAATACTGCATTGATTTATATTTTTAAACATTTATTTGTGGGATGTGGATGTCGCTGGTTGGGCCAGCATTTTATTGCCCATCCCTATTGTCCTTGAGAAGGTGGTGGTGAGCTACCTTCTTGTATCTCTGTAGCCCATGTGCTGTAAATAGACTTACAATTCCATTAGGAAGTGAATTCCAGGGTTTTGCTGCATTTACACTGCAGGATGTTTTCAAGAATGGATGATGAGTGGCTTGAAGAGGAACTTTCAGATGTTGTTCCAATGTATCTGCAGCCCTTATCCTTCTAGATGGTAGTGGTTGTGGGTTTAGATGGTGATATCTAAGGAACTTTGGTGAATTTGTGCATTGCGTCTTGTAGATAGTGCACACTTACGCTAATTAGCATCGATGATAGAGGGAATGAATGTTTGTGGATGTGGTGCCATTCAAGTGGACTGCTTTGTCTTGGATAGTGTCAAGCTTCTTGAATAGTGTTGAAGCTGCATTCATCCAGGCAAGTGGGGAGTATTCCATCACACTCCTGCCATGTAAATGGTGACCCACTTGGGGGTCAGGAGGTGTGTTAGTTGCTAAAGGATTCCTTGCCTCTGATCTGCCCTTACAGCCACAGTATTTATTTTGGTGGTCCAGTTCAGTTTCTGGTCAATGGTAATCCCCAAGATGTTGAAAATGGGGAATTCTATGATAACATCACAGAATATCAAAGTATGCTAATTAGATTCTCTCTTGTTAGAGATGGTTGTTGCTTGGCAATGTGGTATGAATGTTACTGGCCACTTGTTTGCCCAGGCCTATTACTGTTCAGGTGTTACTGCGTTTGGACATAGAATGCTTCAGTATCTGAGAAGCTGTGAATGGTACTGAACGTTATGCAATCATCAGTGAACATTCCAACTTTTGACTTGAATGGAGGAAGGTTGTTGTTGAAGCAGCTGATTACGATGAAAATTCTGCCGTGATGTCCTGGGTCTGAGATGCAGCTATTCCAACAAACACAATTAGCTTCATGCTATCAGAGGTTTCCCTCTGATTCCCGTTGCCTTTAGTTTCGTTCAGGTTCCTTGATACCAAATTTAGTCAAATGCTGCCTTGATGTCAATGATAGTCATACTCTTCTCACCTCTGGATTTCATCTTTTTTTTAAACCTTGTTTGAAGCAAGACTAATGAGACCAGGAGCTGAATGGACCTGGCAGTACACAAACTGACTGTTAGTGAATAGGTTATTGCTGAGCAAGTGCTGCTTGTTAGTACTGTTGATGATCTCTTCCCTCACTTCACTGGTTGAGAAAGACTGTTGGGGTGGACTGGTGTCCTGCTTTTCCTGCACAGAGTACATCTGGGTGTTTTTTCACATTGTTGGGTAGATGCAGTGGCAGTGTGGTAGCTGCAAAGGAGCAGCTTAGCCAAGGGTGTGGCAAGTTCTGGAGCACGAGTCTTCAATGCTATTACTAGAATGCTGTTGAGGTCTACAATGTTTGCCGTATCCGGTGCCTTAAGCTATTTCTGAATATCATGTGAATGAATTGAATGTGATACTGGGACCTCTGGAGGACGACGAGATGGATCATTGTCATAAATGCTTCAGCCATGTCTTTTGCACTGATATTCTGGGCCGCCTTATTATTGAAGCTGGGCATGTTTGTTGAGTCGTCACTGCCAGTGAATTATTTAATGGTCAACCACTATTCACGACAAAATGTGGCAGGACTGCAGAATAAATAATCAATTCTGTTGGCAGTGGAATTTATTCTCCCTATCACTTGTTGTTTATGCTGTTTGGCGAGTAAATAGCTCCGTACTGCAGTTTGACCAAGTTGACACCTCATTTTCGGTATGTATGGTGCTGATCCTGGCATGCCATTCTACGTTCTTTGAACAAGGATTGATCCTCTGGCTTGATGGTAATTGTATATCAACGGATATGCCAGACCATGCGGTTTTAGGTTGTTTTGGACTGCAATTCAGGCCTCAGTACCTCATGAGTACCCAGTCTTGAGTTGCTAGCACCATGGTAGTGTCAAAAGCGCAATAGAGTGTATCCTCAATGTGACAATGAGGTTATTTCCACAAGAACTGGTGCAGCAGTCTCCTAATCCTGGCTCTAGCCTCCATGATTAGCACTGCTGCTTCAAAGTGCCAAAGATCCGGATTTGATTGTACCCTCGGGCAACTGTCTGTGTGGAGTTTGCAAATTCTCCTCGTATCTGGTTGGCTTTCCTCTGGATGCTCCTCCCACAGTCCAGAAATGTAAGTTAGGTGGATTGGCTGTGCTAAATTGCCCATAGCGTGCAGGCTAGGTGGATTGCCCATAGGAAATGCAGGGTTACAGGGACTGGGTGGAGGAGTGGGTCTTGTTGGAATGCTGTTGAGAGTATTGGTGTGACTTGATGGCCCAAATGGCCTGCTTCCACACTGTAGGGATTCTATGGTTCTAGATGATAGAGGACTTGGCAGATCAACAGGACTGAGTTTTCCATTGTCTTGTCCAGTGCCCTGGGAGAGGCCAAATTGTCCATCTGGTTTCATTTCTTATTTTTTGGTGGGTTTTTTCAGTGGTCTGATGCAACTGGGTGGCTTGCTAGGCCATTGCAGAGGTAGAGTCAACACTGCTGATTTGAAGTAACATGGAGGCCACAATGGATAAAAACAGCAGTTTTCCTTCTCTAAAGGACATTGAGGTTTTTACAAGTGAACAATGGTTTTTGGCCATAATTAGAGTTTTAATTCCAGATTTTCAAAAAATTCAAATTGCACTCTGTTGTAATGGGATTCAACTGTGTTGCTAGTTTCAGCCTGTTCAGATAGAATCCCAGGCTAACAACAATGTGAACTAAGAATAGTGAGCAATATTAGGTTTAGGATAATATGACCTAGAAATAACAGAACACATAATTTGCAGGTTAATATAGTGAATAATTTGGCCAGCAGATTATTTAAAATATGAGAATAATGCAAATTCAGATGGGCTTTTAAAAATAGGTATTTTCATCTCATTGTAAGAGACATTTTCTTAATGTGTTAAATTAAATTACATAACCTGAAAAATTAGAAGAGACGATCTTATCTTTTTAAACATGTACGTTTTGGTTTATTGCACTCACACCTTTTTAAGTGTGATCAGTTCACTTTGGTGTTTACATAAATGACAAAGCAAGCTAGCCCATTTAGTCAAAATATATTTACATAACGGCTGCATTTCCACAAAGTTGTTCAGCAATGGGATTTATCCACATTCCTCAATCTTGGAAATATGATTGCAGTGTTTTATCAACAAGGAAAAGATAAATCCTTGCCTGTTTAACAGCTAACACAAAGTTAGAGTTAAAGCTTGATTGTCAAAATATGTCAAGTAGCAAAGTGATTCTGCATTTTGTTTGATTAACGTGTGCTGACAGTATTGGCAGGATAACCTTCTCTATGAACACAAATCTTAAAAATAAAGATTGTGCTGTTTTTCACATCTCTCAATTTTAAAAAATATATTTAGGAAGATGGAGAATTGGCTGTTATCATTGCAAACCTTCACTTCCATCAGCTCATTGAGAGGAGTACTTTAGGATCAGTCACCTGGTAAGAAGAATTCTGCTTGCACAGTATACAAAATAAATGATAAACATAACCTCTAAACACTTGGTAACTGCAACTAAATTGCTTTGGATTTATGGAAAAAGTATTGTATTACTTTAGTTACATTGTGCTATTGTATAGTTACATTGTATCATAATCTGGTCAGGTGGGCAGGAAAGTGGTGAATGAAATTCAATCCAGAGAAAGTAATGAGTTTGGGGAGGTGAGATAAGGCAAGAAAATGCATAATAGCTGGTAGGTTTCTGAAAAGTGTAGAGAAATAGAGGGACCTTGGAGTGAATGTCAAGCCTGAAGACAGCAGGATAAGTAAATTACGTGGTGATGTGGACATAGAGTACTTGCTTTTATCGGCCAAGGCCCAGAGTGGGAGTTAATAATAACTTTGTGTAAAAGACCTAGGACACCTCATCAGCATCTTGTAAGCAGTTCTGGCCACCATATCATGGTAAAAATGTGATTGCACTAAAAACGGTACAAAAGAGACTTTACAATGATGTCAAGAATGGCAGCATTTTTGTGGTTGCATCTTTGTAAATTAGCTATGAGGGATGATTGGATAGGCTGTGTTTGTTTTCTGTGCCAGTGGTATACGTTGACTCATGTCATGTGAAACGTTTTTGAAGTGTTAAATACAGTGGATTTCCAAAGAGATTTTATGGGCAGGGAGCTTGTGGAGGCTTCGGGTGCATAGATCTTTAAAATGCCACAAAGGGATGCAGAAAATAAATAAGAAAACGAATGGAATGATAGCCTTTAAACCTAGATGACTCGAGTATAAGGATGCAGACCTTATGCTGCAGTTATACAAAACCTTGGTTACACCCTACTTGGAGTGCTGAGAGTAGATCTGGGCTCCACATCTTAGGAAGGATATATTAGCCTTGAGGCTGTACAACATCGGTTTACAAAAATGATACCAGGAATTCGGGTTACATTGAGGATTTAGAAGGCTAAAATGTAATCTGATTGAAGTCTTCTAGACATTAACAGGAAAACATAGGGTAGATAAAGATAAACTATTTCCACTGGAGATTCTAGAGCTAGGAGGCATATACTGAAAATTAGGGCCAGACTGTTAAGGAGGAATGTTAGAAAATATTTCTACACACCAAAGGATGGTAAGTGTTTGGAACTGTTTCCACAAGTGGTGGTGAATGCTAGATCAGTTGTTAATTTTAAATCTGAGACTTTATTTTAAGCAAATGTATCAAGGGATATGGGCAAAAGGCGGGTATGGAATTATGTTGCTGATCAGCCATGATCTCATTGAATGGCAGAACAGGCACAAGAGGATGGATGGCCTACTCCTGTTCCTGTGCTCCTGCATCAAAACTCTTATCAACCCCCATCTGGTCAGTCAAGTATTCCACCTTCCAGAGAAACTCTGGAATGCAATGAGCCCTTCCAGCAGCACAATGGTTAGCACTTCTGCATCGCAGCACCAGGGAACTGAGTTCAATTCCAGCATTGCCCACTATATAGCTGGAGCTCGCATGTTCAACCTGTGTCTGCATGGGTTTCCTACCATAGTCCAAAGATATGCAAGTTAGGTGATTGGCCATTGCTTTCATTTGTAGGGAGATCAATCAACAGGGGGCATTGATTTAAAATAATTGGTGGAGGTATCAGGAGTGTTGAGGAATTACTTTACCCAGAGGTGGTTGGGGTGTTTAATGGTCACTGCCTGAAAGTGTTTCGGAGGCAGAAACCCTCATACTATTAAACAAATACTTGAATACGGTTCTTATTTTCTATTCACTGGTAGCATGTGGGCATTGCTGGCTAGACCAGCAATTTTTCACCATCCCTAGGTGCCCTTGAGAAGGTGATTATGAGCTGTTGTCTTGAACCACTGCAATTCAAGTGTTGTAGTTAGACCCACCAAGCTGTAAGGAAGGAAATTCCAGAATTTTGCCCCAGTGACGTTGAAGGAAAGATGATAAGTTTCCTAGTCGGGATGGTGAGTGGCTTGGAGGGGAACTTGCAGGTTGTGTTATTCCAATGTAACTGTTGCCCTTGTCCTTCTGGATGGAACTAGTCATGGATTTGAAAGATGCTATCTAAGGAGTAATCTGTATTGTAAATATTAAGTCTCTTCATCTTTCTACGTGAAAGATTGTAATCAAATTACTTTATCTAATTACTGAGTGTTACTGATATTCTTCTGTTTAAAAAGGCAGCAGTATGTTGATACAGTTGTGCCATGTATTGAAAATTTTACAACCTTCAGGCTTCATTTGTTTAATTTATTTACCTTCTCTCTGTTTAATGTTTTGAAAATAAAAGCCAATATTCGTCACCACCTCATGAGCCAATGTTGGATGATATTGATCCAGAATATGGGTTGCATGGCTACCATTGCCACATTGCCTTACATAATGGAAAAAGTTCTTTCATGTCTGGTAGTTTCCATAACATCATCTGTAGAAAAGGTAAGAAGGCTGCCATTTTAGTTTGTATTGCTGCTTTCTCTGTGTGAAAGAAATTTGCAATATCAGTCATTGCACCTTACCTGTTTTCCCCCTTCACAGTGCGGGCAAAATTTCCCTTGCTGCTATTTTTCTTGTTCTGGTGTCTGGTTGATTAGTGAATCTGCAAGTGCTGGACTTGGGATTACTGACTCCACATCTTGATTATCCAACCTCACATCCTCCCTTTCTTTCTACTGTTGCTATATTATGCCTTCGTTGTTAGGGCTGTAACCACCATCTTTTATATCTCCTCTAAAAAAGGTTAATACGCCTGGAACATTTAATTCTCAAGTTCAGTTACGTTGCAACCACATTTCTCTAATGGGTGTTGGATCAAATACACCTGTGCTATTAATTGTACTTTTGAGAATACTTCCATATATTCATATATTTTGCCTGCTATTATTTTTATTTTTACCTTAGTCAATAACAAAATATCTCCCTTAAACTCTTTGCCCCTTCCTGACCCACTGTTAATTTCTAGCCAAATTCTGTACAGCCTTTGTGTTTTTCTTAACCCTTCTCTGAATGCTGCTACTGACATTCATGAGTTTGAAAAACATGTTGAATTTCCTAGATTTTCAAATTGCCTAGACAATGAAAAACAAACCAAAGAACTGCAGTTGATGGAAATCAAAAACAAATCAGAAATTGTTGGAAAACTCTGCAGGTCTGGCAGCATTTACGGAGAGAAGGCAGAGCTAATGTTTTTCATAGAATCATAGAATCCCTACAGTGTGGAAACAGGCCCTTCAGCCCAACAAGTCCACACCGACCCTTGGAGCATCCCACCCAGACCCATCCCCCTATAACCCACCTACTCTACAGACCCCTGAACTCTTACGGGCAATTTAGCATAGCCAGTCCACCTAACCTGCACATCTTTGGACTGTGGGAAGACCAGAGTACCTGGAGGAAACCCACGCAGAAACGGGGAGAATGTGCAAACTCCACACAGACAGTCGCCCGAGGGTGTAATTAAACCCAGGTCCCTGGTGCTGTGAGGCAGCAGTGCTAACCACTGAGCCACTGTGCCGTTTTGGGTCCAGTGAGCCTCCAGAACTTTTTACAGCAATTTCTGATTTTGCCTAGACAGTGAGTCTGTCTGTTTGATTTGTGTTTGTCCCACTGGCTCATCTCCTTTTGGACAGTATCAGTATCTGTGTCCCATGAAGCAAATCTTTGCTTTCCAGATCATTCATTCAAACACACAGTTAATCTGCAAATCTGCTTATCCTATTCCACGTTTACATTTGGATGAGTTAAAAATTACCACTAAGGTTTGCATTTTAATTTAGACCAAAACCCCTCAAACTCTTTCTCAGAAGAGCCACATTCTAAGTTCTGCCTATGTTATTGGTTCCTGTGTGAACAAAAACAACTGATTCTTCTATTTACTGTTTAAAAAAAATTGTAACTCAAACTGTTGGATAAGTTTCTAGCTGCAATAAAAATAGAATCTATTTGAACTTGGCACCAAATTCAGATAGCCCTGCTGATTTTGAATTTTCCTCCACTTGTGAATCATGTGGTTCCACTACTGTTGGAAATGGTGCTGGGACATCAGAATCCAGATTCCCAATGCCATTTTTTTGATACGCTGCAGGATATGACTCCAGGAGAGTCCACGCCTAGATTTGTGTCACCTTTGGATCAGCAGATCTGATGCAGAGTCTGGGAGCACTTCTGAAATGCTGAGTGAAGCCAGTCAGTTGTGTATCAAAAAAGACCTCAGAACATTTTTTTAAAAATACTTCAATGTAATTCTGTTCTTGTGATTAGGATCAGGTGTCAATTGCTGAGACAAACTGTGTTCTTGGTATCAAAAGTCTGGTTTTCTTTGCTTAGATATGTTCTGTATACCTAATTTGCATTTTGATTCTACTTGTATGATCAGTTGATTGTGGTATTGCAAATTCAATATTCTCTCCCAATTTCAGAATTCATCCAGAATGGCTTTTTGCGAATAACAGTTATCAGTTCAAAGAAAGAATCACAGCACAGCACTATCACTGGAAATCTCTACTTACCTTGGAATACAGAGTTCTTAAAAGGAAACATCCAGGTGTGAAAATTTGTGTTTTTGTCCTGATTTGTTTTTTGATTTCCAAGTGCTTTGACCTGAAGCTGTTTTTCCATCCTCCTTCTATCATTGGGCCACCTACCTTCTGTGATTAAAATGTAAAGAGATTTGCTTGTATCCATCTATTTCTTTCTAGCTGCTTAATGGTATGAGACAGCAGTCTGGTGTTTCTGCTTTTAACCAGACAATGGAAGAGTATTTAGTTTCCATTCAGTAGCATAGCTTTCCAATTGACATGGCTGAGGCTGACAAATCAGCAAAGTTAAATTATGTTCTTCCACTCGAACACATTTGGTAATTTAATGATCTACAATGGGAGATAAGATTTGCTGTCTTAGTCATCAATGTTTTCACATATCAGGGTCACTGGAGCAGTTGCCACATTTCAGTGATCAATTGCTGATGCATTGTGGAGATATTACGTGATTGAAATTCACCGTTTTATTTTCTTAAATAATAGTAAATGTTCTTCTCATCAGGCCATAATTGTTTGGTGTTCAATTTATCTGAGTACAAAGGTGGTATTTTTTTTTAATTTTTTAAAATTTTTTTTTCATTTTGATTGTGAACTGAAATGAGAAAAGAAATGATTTAAAAGCCAAGGATTATTGAAGGGTTCCTGCATTTTTCAGAGCAAGTAACCTGACACTGATTGTAAGTGCTGCTTACACAGCCATCGGTTCAAGTAGCGTGGAAGGTCTAGTTGCAGATGAGCTGGAGCCAAGGGATATATGCAAAGTAGCTGATAGTAAAGTAGTTACCATTCCACAAATCAATGAGAGAGGCCTTCTGCCAGCTAACAACTACGATTGGCTCAAAGGTAACTGAACAACTTAGGGGTGTGAATTTTTAGGCAGAGGCCATCAGAGCTCTGTAGGGGAAGGAGCTGTTTTTTTTGCTGTGCAGCAAAAACCATCTCCAGCCTGAAGATATCCAGTTTATTTCCCATCAGTTGCTGTAAGCTGTGGTTTTAATAACCAGCAAGTCAGATATTTTAAAACTGTGAACTATTCGCTCTGTAATGCTGCAAGCAAGTGAAAGTACCTGGAGAAGGAAAATCCAGAAGTAGCGTTCTGATCATAAAAATCATCTCAGCAAATTGGTGGACAGGGACCACTGAACTGCGTTCCCAGTCTCACTGCCCCCCTCCACTTTTTCTTTTCTCTATCTATCTATATACATGTGTAGAGGAGAAGTTTTATAAGTAGGTTAAAGTTTTAGCTAACAAGGTGTAGAGCTGGATGAACACAGCAGGCCAAGCAGCATCAGAGGAGCAGGAAAGCTGACGTTTCGGGCCTAGACCACCCTCCAGAAATCGGGGAGGGGAAGTGGGTTCTGAAATAAATAGGGAGAGAGGGAGAAGTGGATAGAAGATGGATAGAGGAGAAGATAGGTGGAGAGGAGACAGATGGGTCAAAGAGGCGGGGATGGAGCCAGTAAAGGTGAGTGTAGGTGGGGACGTAGGGAGGAGATAGGTCAGTCCAGGGAGGACAAACAGGTCAAGGGGGTGGGATGAGGTTAGTAGGTAGGAGATGGGGGTGGGGCTTGAGGTGGGAGGAGGGGATAGGTGGGAGGAAGGACAGGTTAGGGAGGCGGGGACGAGCTGGGCTGGTTTTGGAATGCGGTAGGGGGAGGGGAGATTTTGAAGCTTGTGAAGTCCACATTGATACCATTGGGCTGCAG